TCCCACCATTCTTCTCACATCCCCCACCACTCTTCTCTGATCCTCCCCCACCACTATTTTCTCATCCCATTTTCTTCTTTATTTTTATGTTACTGTCACATTGGTATTTCGTAAAAGTTGTAAGGTTTGGGCAAGGTAAAGCAAAACGTTTCGGTTCCTTCGTTCAAGTGGGTGCCAAAATTCGTGCGTCAGGAGTGACTTTTGGCAAGCAACTAAAGGACAGATACGAAACATCCGATCTTGATCTCGAAAACATAAAAAGAATTACTCCTACAATGTCTTTTATTATATTTCTTTTCTTTTTTATTTCATTTTTTTTCTTATTTTTCTTCTTCTTCTTCTTCTTCTTCTTTTCATCGTCGTATATTAACGTAAGAGAAAATACGAAGAATTTGTTTTGAAATAATTTTCATTCGTGTATATTAAAATTATTTCATTAATATTTTAATAATAATTGTATCATAAGAAATTGTAACTAAAAAAAAAAAAAAAAAAAAATTATTATAATGAAAATAATTTTTTTTTTTTTATTATATGTAATTAAATTTTTTTTTTGTAAATAATATTAATAAATATTAATATTTATTGTATATAAAATATATATAATAAATTTTAATATAATTTAATAGAAAAATAATTATTAAAAAAATTGCAATAACATTATATATAAAATATAACAAATATATAATAAATAAATTAATAAAATTTAATTGAAACAAAAATGATAATTAAATTGTAAAAAAAAAATTATATACATAAAATAAATAATAAATTTTTTATAATATTTAATATAAAAATAATTATAAAAAATATTATGACAAAATTATATATAAAATATATAACAAATTATACTAAAATATAATTATAAAAATAATTATAATAAAATTATAACAAAATTGTATATAAAATATATAATAAATAATAATAATAAAATTAAATATAAAAAATCTATAATAAAATTATAAAAAAATTATAATAAAATTATAAATAAATTATATATAAAATATATAATAAATATTAAAATTATATTATTCATTGTATAAATAAATATTAATTTTTTTTATATATAAATATTAAACATATATTTATATATACATATAAATATCAAAATATTCAATATGGCGTATTAAAACATTCCCAACATCCTTCCCCCATCCCAAAAATAAATAAAGTAATTTTTTAATTTACACAGATAATTAAAAAATAATAATTATAACAATTATAAAAAAAAAAAAATATAAAAAAAAAAAAGATAAATAATCGAGAAGAAAAGAAGAAATTTTTTCCACGAAAAAAAATAAAAAAAAGAAAAAACTCCAACGAGACTTTGTTAGTTGAATACAAAAGAATCTCGAGACTCCCCACTATTCTACAGCCCTGATTTAAAGCGTCGCGACGCCTCGTGCACACGTTCCTCGCAGTGAAGGGGTGCCACTCGTGCGGAATAGCGTGATTCTAAAATCGTTCCTTTTTTATTTTATTTTTTGGGAGTCCATTCCTTTCACCATTTTTTTTTGTTTTTTTTTTTTCGTTTTTACATTTAATTAACCATCCAAACTTTCTATCTTATTTTTTTTGTCTCATCTTCAATCCAACCTAAAAAATACAAACAAACAAAAAAACGCACAATCGTTACAAATTTCAAGGTTAATTACTAAGTAAACCTAACAAATTAATTAGAAAGAGAAAACAAAAATATAATAAAATACTTCAGGCCCGTGTCATTCATCATAATCAACGAAATCAGAATAAAAAATAAAAATAAAAAAGGAAGAAAAGAAGAAAGCAAAATAATTCAAAACCATTTTTCTACAACCCCTATACTATCATCAATAAAAAGTGACCTTCTTCTAAGGGCAAGAGAAGAAAAAAACCTTGATGACCTAGGAGTACCAAGACCATCAACTACTACAACACAACTACTGGTGGTGGTGCATCACGTAACTCGTGAATATTTCAATTGAGTTTATCGATCTAACTGTGTCGAACACGTGCTTCGTGAGTGTCCGTATTTCTTTAAAAAAAAAAAAAAAAAAA